AAAGTGGGTGAAGGGAGACATCAGACAGGGAAAGATATGACAAAATAATAATTTATAAATTATCAAGGGCTCATGAGGGAGGGGGTAGCAGGGAGAGAGGGGAAAAATGAGGACCTGATGCCAGGGGCCTTAGTGGAGAGCAAATGTTTTGGGAATGATGAGGGAAATGAATGTACAAATGTGCTTTACACAATTGATGTATGTATGGATAGTGATGAGTCGTATGAGCCCCTAATAAAGTGATTAAAAAAAAGAAAAGAAAATAGTCTTTACACATTTGAGAACAGGGTCTAAATACCCAGAGACAAAAAAAAGGTGAAAGGATATACAATTAAGAAACACTTTTCAGGTTCAGAGAGTTATTGGAAAACACCAGGAGAATATGGCATGAGTTGAGTTACATTGTGGGAATTACAATCGATGACATGAAACAAAATGTATATGCATTGTAGAATGAAAACTTGATTTTATTTACAAACCTTCACCCACTTCACAATAAAAAATGTGGTTTTTTGGAAACAACCACTCCTCCTGTAGACCAGGAGGAATAGTGTGCTGACCTAGTAGAGCAGATCCCATAGAGCAGAACTCAACGATACCTCTAGTGGTACCAAATGGGGTTAGGCCAAAAGATTTTGAAAAGTTTTCATATCAAACTCGATTTCATGTTCTCCAGGACAAACAATCCACTCTACTGGACAATGTTGCTGGGGATCGTGATAGGGCCCTGAAAGAACTGACAGAGCACGTGAGAGACATTTTATCAGAGTCATTGTGCCTGGACTCTATATTTTTCCATATTTAGCTGAAACATGTAACTATTTACTAACCTATTATCATTATCTTCATCTATCACTCATACATAGTGCTACTGCCGGCTTTCCCGTGGCCCCAGGAACAGAGAGGCAGAGTCACCGAGGCTGCAAACAACAAAGGAGTTTATTGACGAGCTCGAGCTAGGGTCCAAGTCCCAGAGCACTAACGCAGTGGCCTCCTCCGAGACGAGGACCCCAGCCTGGGGCACAAGCCAAGGTTTTATACTTTTTACAGGTTACATAAGCTGGGTGAAACTATTCCCCCTCACCCTCCCATAGTTCAATGACTTCATCTGGAGACAATTGGTTGTGCAGGTCTTTTTGGTTGACTGGCTCCACTCTCAGGATGTTCCAATTGTGGTCACTCAGAACTTTCCAGGTGCGGTCAGCATTATTGCACTCACTCGGACCTTTCCAGGTGTGGTCAGCGTCATTTGGGGGAGAGGGTGACTTTGTTAGAGAAAGGAAACTCAAGGCTGTTAGAGAAACAAAACTTAAAGCTGGAAAAATGGAACTTAGGCCTATTTTAAGAGGCTCGGCCTGTCATGGAGTCACTGCTGCCTTACATTAGGAGCCCAGGCGGTACAGTGATTATGCATTGGGCTGTGCAATATGAAGGGGAGGCACTGGGGGCATACATGCGATAAGATGGGCAGACCCAAGATTCAAGATGGCAGCCTAACCTTGGTCCTCCTTGAGTTGGCTTGACCTTGTCTTTGGGGTCTCCTTCAGGGAAACAATCTGCTATCCTTATTAGCAGGGAGCAGGCTCTACTTTGGGTGGGACAGATTATAGGGTCTGATTGCTCTAGATGGCTGATACCCTCAGGGAGATCGCCTTTAAGCAGCTGACCTCCAGGCATACCGTCAATGAGCATATGTTCTTAGGTTTGGCATATATTTATAGGGGGACAACCTGGGGAAAACCTTACTGTATCCCACAGTTGGTAAGGCCAATGTGCCTCCCATGGAGCACAGAGCCTCTGCTTTCTTCCAAGATCTGTACACTGACCGGGTGGGGAAGCACTAGTGAAGGTAAATGGTTTACTGTCATGTAGAGATGACTGCTACAACTACTTTTGAAGACATGTCTGGAAGGAGATAGAAGCAGCATTTAATTTGAAAGGTAGAATCTAGGTTTAATTTATCTGTATTAGCTTGGCAAGTGGCTAGAAAATTAGTTGTGAGCTGTGCTACAGTCTTCCTTCTGTGACTTGGGTTATAGCTGGAATAGATACCGGGTTTCAAGCTTACATGAGAAGAACCAGCTAATGAATATTTGAGGCTTTGCAAGCCATCAGGTTTCTGTCCCCATCCCTCACCTCTGCTATTGGAGTACAAAGAGCCATCGTAGACCATCTACAAGAATTAAATGTCATATAATGCTCATGTGACCCAAAATATTATTTTGATTTTTCAACCATTTAAAATTGTACAAAGTGTTTTTAACTCAAGCTTTTTACAAAAATAATCAGAAGGGTAAAGACCTGTAGTTGGCCTACTTGCTATAGTTTTCCAAGACAAGAATATAAAATTTACATTGTAAGAATTTATATATATGTGCATGTGTGTATCCCAAAATGGAAAAGAGCTCTGCTGGGTGGAGCTTTTGTAGTACACAATTTCCCACTAGGTGGTCATCGTTCGACCAACTCGCTGGAGTTAGTGCTCCCAGTGCCGTTGCCTTGGGAAGGTTCTCTCTGGTCACAGTGAATGTTTTTATAAAAAGCAGTTTCGCTCGAACCTCATTTTTTATGATGGGCAATTTAAGAGAATAGCAAGTGGCTGTGAAACTTTGTTTCCTGTTTGGGGGAAAATGGTGCAGAGTTGTTGTGATATTGAACACAGCTTACAAGGACAGTACTATGGGAAAAACTCAAATGTACAAGTGGCTTCCTCATTTCAAAAAAGGTGAAATGTTGATTGATGACAAAGCTTGTTCTGGATGCCCATCAACTTCCTGAATGGCCAAAAATGTTGGTTTGTAGTGCATTTGGAGTTCATTCCACCAGGCCAGACTGTGAATCAAGTTTTCTATTTAGAGCTTCTTAAAAGGTTGCTTAACAGTGTACAAGAAAAAAGGCTTGACTTGTGGCACACAGCGGACTGGTTTTGCCACCACAACAATGCACCTGCTCATGGAGCCAGCTCAGTGTGCCAGTTTTGCCTCTCTTGCCCCATGCACCTTCCTCACCCGACCTCGCTCCGTGGGACTTCTTTTTGTTTCCACAAATGCAGAGGGACATGAAACACGGCAATTTAATGGCAATGACGTAGAAGAGGTGAAGGAAAAAAATGAGGAAGGTGCTGTCAGCCATCCAAACAGATGAGTTTGAAAAACGTTTCCAAGAATTGAATCACAGATTTGACAAATGTATAATGAAGAGTACTTTGAAGGTGATAAAGGTTGTTTTATAAAAAAATTTTAACACATAGCTTTGAAAAAGAAATCTGGGTTTTTTTGTGGAGGTATCCCCTCGTATGCCTTGTGTGTGTGTGTGTGTGTTGGGATATATACATGTATATATGTATATATATGGGATATATACATGTATATTCTCTCTGCCAAGATGATGTTCTAGGTCACAATCCTTCAGTGATTGAACAGTTCATTATGTAAATAAGGTATGTGTGGTAGTTACATAATCTGTTGTCAACTTGAGACTATTAAGAGTGAAGGGGTGGAGTTTAGTTTGTCAATCAGGTCGCAGCTTGATGACCTCATTTGGAGGCTCTAAGGAGATAAACAGCTCACTGGAGGCGGGACACACACTCACTCCCTACAAGAAATTCCTGTGGACAAGCCACATGGAGCTATGCTGATGGCAGCCAGAGCCTTGGAGCTGGAGGAGCCACATGGAGACCCAGGCCAGCACTAAGATGCTTCCACGGCCACTGGATCCACAAGACTTTCTACTCACTGGCCTGTGATCTTCCTACACTCAGCATCATTGCATGCATTGCATGAGTCTGAAGAGGAAATTATAGACTGGTATCGGACATATGGGCTAATAGCAGACTTATGGACTTGATATGGACTGAAATGTTTTCTTAATGTACAGTTGCTCTTGTATATACAGCTTTTTATACCCATATAAGTGTCTATGATTTTTTTTTCTAGTCAACCCAGACTAACACAGTATATGAAATTCTTGCAGGGATTCCTCAATTGCTATGCAAATAAAGTTTTCTCCTACTGAGGGGATTGGTCAGGTTTGCCCTCCTGTTAGGTTTAAAAGAGCCATTATCACAGAAGTTGAACAGGGCCTTACTACCATCAAGAAGAGCAGGGAGCAGCGTACATCCTTGGGGCTTGTGGACCTTGCATTGAGACAGAGGAGAGAGGGAAGATGGAGTGAGTAAAAGGGAGGGAGGGAGAGAGAGACAGAGACAGACAGAGACAGAGACAGACAGAATGACACACACACACACACCCAGAGGGAGTGAGCACACTGTTAACTCTGGAGACAGATAGCACAAGATGGCATCAGCAGCAAGACCAGGAAAGTGGTGTAAGATGTCGATGGCTGCAGATCCATGAAGCAAAAGAGCTGAGTGAGCACCTTTTCACACAGAACAATTGCCTCTGGGCAAGTCTGGGCAGAGCTGCAGAACTGGAACCCTGCCCAAGCACAAAGGCGCTATGGCAGTAGGGCCCCCCACCCCACGCCCCTAGTAGAAATGCTGTCTTGCTTGGAAGTCAACCTGATTGAAGTATCCTGTTTGCTGAATTCATGCTACTTCCAAGTTTATCCTGTTCCTGAATTTTGCCTTTAAAAACTCCATAATTGTGAGAATAGTTGTACATTGTGTGGCCATCACAATGGCAGAGAAGTGGGGCTGGGGTGCCGGTGTCAACATTAATAAACTGTTTGGTGAGTGGAAGCATATCTAATTCTGCATAGGAATAAGCTTTATATGGGTCTTGATTTTTCATCTCTGCTCTTGAGTTTCAACAAGATCTGATGCCACCATTTTACATGTTCTTAAAATACGAACTCTGAATGATGTTTCATTTTGTTTTACTCACCGTGCAAGATTATTTTCTTTGTGTTTGTATCATTTACTTATAATCTGTGAGTTTGAAGAATGGAATTTATCTTTTGACTGCTCCCAGCATTCCTATGTGCTACCAGCAGCTAAATTGCTTTTTCATAAAATCTGCCTTATAAAAGGCACTTTCTCCTCATTATGTAAATGAGGACGTTAAGGAACTTGCTCATTTCCCTGGTTAATATATATCAAAGCCAGAATTTAACATCAATTTGGGTTTACAATCCTTAGACAGCTTTCCATTACACGTGGAACTATTTCCTCTGAGTGGGAAAGCTTCCCTTTGGTTTGACACAGTGCTCCAGTCTCCCATCTGTCTTTTGCTTCCTTGTCGGCTAATCTCCAGGCACTAGAGCCACCTTTCTTCCTCTGCATCACACCTAGCCGGTCCGGCTCTCTCTCATGCTAGAGCACTCTTGTTCTTATCCGCTCACGGCTGCCTCGCCAATGTTTCATTTTCATCTCAAATGCCTCGTCTGCTCAGACCTCTGTTCTGCAGTAGAACTGCTGTGTTTCTGTATAATTGTCTTGTCCTTTGGAACAGGAGTCTATTGGAGACAGACTTATGTTTTCTTCAGCACCCCAGAGTTGGAAACAGACCTGAATAAAATAAACATTCAGGAAATATTTGTTGACTGACTGCCTTCAAAACATTTGAATAAATATCTGTGCTCCTAAAACCTTCAATCTATAAGAATTCCTTGAACGCCAAACAATTGAGAAGTAGCTGCAGTTTTATAATAATAATTTAAAAATCATTCTTTCAAGCTGGGCAAGAAAATTGATTTTTTTAATAATATTTTATTGGGAATTGGCTAAAAGCTTACAGAGCAGATTTATTTCAAACAATCCATTTGCCTTTTGTTTCCCCTCAATGTGATATTCCTTATCCTCCTCCCACCCAGGGTCTCCCCATCTCCTTTCTAACCCACCTGTGTTTTGTCCTTGGGTAAAAGCTGCCCTGTTGATCTCACCTGGATCATTATTCTAGGTGTCGGTACTTCTATAATGTTATTGTTCCCATGAGAGACCTGTCTATTGTTTGGCTGAAAATTAAGTCACAGGGTGAGTTCAGTTCCAGGTAACCCAACCAAGGCCACTTCTCAGTTGTCCGGTGGTTAAGGTATGGTGCATAGACATTCAAGGGCTTGGAGGGCAGTCGGATGATGCCTGCCTACTACCACCAACTGCTCTGAGAAGGGATCACTTTTAAAAGTTCTGGGAGAAAAGGAGGCAAATGTGAAACAACTCAGGGTAGTAGGGGTCTGTATGTTTGTTTTTTGCTGTCTAGAGCAGTGGTTCTCAACCTTCCTAATGCTGCAACCCTTTAATACAGTTCCTCATGTTGTGGTGACCCCCCAACCATAAAATTAATTTTGTTGCTACTTCATCACTGTAATTTTGCTACTGTTATGAATCGAGTGATCCCTGTGAAAGGGTCGTTTGACCCCCAAAGGAGTCACGACCCACAGGTTAAGAACCGCTGGAGCAATGTTGCCCTAGGTGGGTTATACTAACCCTGGGGGCCCTGGAACAATCCAATGTGGCAGCAAAATCAGATTCCTACACTTTACCCTGGATTATGGAATCTAGTGCTAACATTTTTAATTGCCGAGGGTAGGTATAAGATTTTTGTTTTTTGAAAAGAGGGCAGTAGGTAAAAAAAGTGTGGGAGCCTATTGTCTAGACCAGAGGGTGATTCCCTCTGCCCTTGATAGCCATCAAAGAACATTGATTTCTGCACATTTGTGCATTCTTGCTGAATTTCTCTTTGTCAAGTTTTCTATAGCAATATTATTGTTGTCTCCATACTTGAAATGCTGAAATACAAACTGGAAATATGTGGGGATTTTGTTATTGTTTTTAACAAAAAGGGTTTTAGATCTTGTTTGCTTGCCAGCAGGTTTCACTTCACAAGAACACTACAGCTGGGAATTAAGACAGGCTACACGCAATATACTTCTATTTTGTGATTCGATATTCTGCATCAGCTCAGAGAAAATTGAATGACTGCAGTTATTTTGGTGCAGAGCAAGTGTGAACTTAAAATATATTTCTTTAACATGACTTATGTCATTAGTAAACTCTCCCTCTTTCCAATTCTGTCTTTTAATTAGGCAGTGCCCCAGCAAGGTTGCTTACAGCAGACTCAAGTGCCTGTGTTAGAAAGGGGTCTATGAAAGAACTTACTATCCTGCTCACCCTGGGGGATCACAGAGAAGATGATCTGTGCTGGTTTCACAGCATCTGGAGGGAAAGATTTCTGCCAGGTGAGAGAATTCTGATTTTGCACAGTAAAATAGTAAGTTACCATCTGCTGGGGCTTCTCCATAGGCAGAAAGAAATCACTAGTGAATCCAGATAACCAACTTTCTCTGTACCTCCCCACAGCAGTAAACTTGAGTTACTTAATCCAAACATGAAATGACAGATAGTGGGTGGAAGCCAGTATACAAACAAGAGGGTCCATCAAAGATCCCAGGAGGGGAGTACAGTGAACCCTCTCCACTTCGCGCTTTGACTTCCGCGGCTTCACTCTATCGCGGTTTTTGCGTAACAGCGCATACTCTGTCATTACTGCCACTGATTGGCTCATACTGTATACGCTTCTGTCTGCATCGCTACGTATCGGAGCTACGTATCAGATGCATTTTTGCTTTTGTACAGTGTACTGTAATTGTTTGCGATTTTTAAGAAATTTTATCTAAGCCCTATGATGGCTCCTAAACGAGCTTCTTCTTCTAAGCCTTCTGACAATAAAAATAAGCGCCAGAGGAAGATGCTCACCATCCAGGAAAAGGTAAAACTTTTGGATATAAGGAATCCTACTTCGCGGAATTTCATTTATCACGGTAGGGTCTAGAACCGATTAACCGCGATAAACAAGGGTTCACTGTACCACTGCCTGGGCCCATGAACAAGGAAAACAAGTTCAGATACCTTTAAGGCCCTGGAGGAAGTACCTATCACTTCTCATCGTACTGGGTAGCTTCCTGGTGGCAGTGGAGAGGGAGGCAGAGCCCCAAGGCACAAAGCCAGGGTATGTGCTACGGAAACAGCTAACGGATCTGGAGAGGGTCCTCGTCAGGTGTAAGTAACTGCTGGTGTTTGGGAGTGTTACTGAATGGCTGACTCAGCAGCCCCATTCTGACAGAATAGAACGGCCCCACAGGAGCCGTTTTTTACAGAATCATATATTTACATAAATGCTGGGGTCACGTGATTTCTAATTATTGTTTTGATGTGATTCTAACACACCTCTCATCTGCTACTTTGTCATAATGTGGTCCCCTCCATGCTGCTATGATGCTGGAAGCTATGCCAGTCACTATATAAAACACCAGTAGGGTCACCCGTGGTGGACAAGTTTCAGTAGACTTCTAGACCAGCGAGGAAGAAGGAATAGTCTGTCTTTTTCGGACAGATTAACCACTGAAAACCATATGCATAGCAGTGGACCACTGTCAGATGTAGTGCTGGAAGATGAGACCCTTGGGTTAAAAGCCACTCAAGATACAATTGAGGAAGAATTGCCTCCTTGTGGTAGTTACATAATCTCATGTCAACTTGAGGATATTAAGATTGAAGGGGTGGAGTCTAGTCAATCAGCTTACAGCCTAATGATGTCTCCCTGTGGGCGTGGCCTTCTCATGAGGATTCTGGGAACTTCCTCTCTCTTGATTCTGCCATCAGAAGAGGTGTCTCTCTCTCTTGCCTCTCTTCCTTTGTCTTCCTGTGGACAAGCCATTTGGAGCTACACTGAGACCCGAGCAAGCCATGTGGCAGAGACCTGCAAAGACAGCCCTGTGATGCTTCCACTGCCATTGGATCCACAAGAGTTTTTACCCACCAGTCTGTGATCTTCCTGCATTCAGCAACATTGTATGTGTTGTCTGAGTCTGAAGAGGACTTTATAGACTAGTATCAGACATATGGTCTAATATCAGACTTGATGTGGGCTGGGCTGTATTGTTTTCTTGATATACAATTACTCTTTGATATAAAGCTCTCATATACATACATGCTTGTTTCTCTAGTATATATATTTGTTTCTGTAGCCAACCCTGTCTAACAAACTCCTCAAAATAGAGTCAATCATAATGATGTAGATGGAGTAAAACTTTTGAAACCTTCATTGATATTATATGGACAAATTATTGAATAATGCAGGACACATCAAAAGAATATGGAAAGAATACATAGAGTCTCTGTACCATACCAAAAAGAACTGACCAACATTCAACTATTTCAAGAGAATCAAAAACTGATGATACTGAAGGAAGAAGTCCAATTTGTGCTAAAAGCAGTAATGAAAAGCAAGAATTCTGGACTTAACAGAATACCAATGAAAAGATTTCAAAAAAAAAAAAGAAAAGATTTCAACAAGCTGACGAAACACTGTAAGTACTCACCAGTCTATGCAAAGAAATTTAGAAGGCAGCTACCTGACCAATTGACTGAAAAAAATCCATATTTTTCCCCATTCCAAAGAAAGAGAACCAAACTGAGTACAGGAATTATTGACTAATATCAGTAATTTATTTTTTCTTTATTTTTATTTTTTAAAATAATTTTATTGGTGGCTCGTATAATTCTTATCACAATACATGCATACATACATTGTGTCAAGCACATTTATACATTTGTTGCCATCAACATTCTCAAAGCATTTGCTTTGTACTTGAGCCCTTAATATCAGCTCCTCATTTCCCCCTCCCTCTCCACTTCCCCCTCCCTCATGAACCCTTGATAATTTATAAATTATTATTATAATTAATATTAATATCATGTGCAAGTTAAATTGTGCTGAAATCTTTGTTCACAGATGGCTACAACAGTACATTGACACACAGCTACCACAAATCCATATGTTCTATTTCATCTCTCATGTCTGTTGTGGAGGTACCTGTGTCTGACTACTCTGCCATCTTGCCGTTTAATGCTCACTTCTGATGCACTTGGTGCTGTAGTGGTTACTAGTTGGATTGCTAACAGCAAGGTCACCAGTTCAAAACCAACAGCTTGGGAGAAAACTGAGGCTTTCTACTCCCATAAAGAATTACAAATGTACAAATATGCTTGACACAATGGATGTATGTATTGTGATAAGAGCTGGATAAGCCCCCAATAAAATGTTTTTTTTTAAAGCTTTAAGAATAACGATGATTTATTTAAGAAAAAAAAAGAATTACTGTCTCAGAAACCCACAGAGGCAGTTCTACCCTGAAAGAATGAAGTCTCAGACACTTACAGAGGCAGTTCTACCCTGACCTATAGGGCGGCTATGAGTCAGCACCAACTTGATGGCAGAGCACTTATTTGTTTGTTTGGTTTGGTTTTGATGCATCTAATTTAAAGCACTTAATTTAAAGCATTTAATCATATTATAAGCAAGCATATTGCACATCTATAATATAGTAGACCTCATATTATGCCTCCTGGGCTACAAAGGTGAGTAAGATATAATGATTGCAATAAATGGCCTCCTCTGGCTCCTCTAATGCCATGAGGCAGGGTTAGAGATCCCTCCATTCTCCGTCCTTCTTTACCTACTCCGACACCAACAATTCTTCCCATGGTGCTCCACTTTTATGCTGAATTCCATCATTTGTTGCAATGGCCACACAGGACTCACAGACAATGCTCATAATTAAGGTGACTTATTAGAGAAGTGACGATAACAAGTTACAAGTCAGGATCAGTAAGAGCACAGTCCTTGGTCTACAGCAACACCTCGTCTTATCCAGCAGCCAAGTCTCTCTCTGGGCCTCAGTTGTGCAGCCCCATGATCCCTTGGTTTTTGTTTTCATGGGCCAGGAAGCCAGTCCACCTGACCCTCTACCTCACAGTCCCATGGTCTTAGGACAGATGAGGAGAAAGTCTTGGCACTGCTCCTTCGAGTCTCTGTGCCACAGCCTCCGGACCACTTCAGACAGAGATCATGGACATGCTCGTCAAGGTCCTCAGGTGCTCTCTCTACTGCTGCTTCAAAGATGGCTCATCCTTACAGCCGAGAGGTGCTAACAAAAGCTGACCAATCCCCTCTATTAATATTACACACATCCCATTTGCATAATCCCATCCAATCATCTGTTGGAAGTTACAGAGACTAGAGTAGAAGAGTCATTTTAAGAAATTTCATTCCCTCGTGGAGTATATTAAACAATTAAAATATATACAAACAAGCATGTGTTTAAGTATTGTTGGATATTACAACTCAACCTAGAGAAACATGCAGAGGATATTTGTGCTTATAAATTGACTGTAGTATGATATACAGGTTTTGGTACTCAAGGGGGAAAAAAATCAGTTTTCCTCTCTAGTTCCCTTCTTGTCTATTGACTTTTTTTTCAAAAGTACGTATTTTTGGAAGGAGGCACGGGAGAATCTTCTATCTCTTATGAATTTTCTCCCAATATTTGGGGAGTTATTTGAGCCTTTTGAAATATGCACTCACTCTAATTATAAACAAAATGGCAATAATTAAAATTGTGAAAATTCATGTGTACTCTTCATGTGTCTTGCCTTAAATTCTATACATATCTAAGTCTTGTGCTAAAGCTTCTACTGAAACTCCATTAATGAGTAGGTGTCAATTTGGTGAAGAAAAAAAGAGAGCCTTGGGAGGGGCATGATTCAAATTCTCCCAACACTACTATGTATATGAAATTGAGCAGATTACTTGTCTCTTTAAGACTGAGGTGCATCGGACCCAAGCAAAGGTGTTTTCAATGGCCTCATAGGCATGTGACTACAGAAGACCACAGAGAAAGCAGATCACGAGTAAAGACCGCCGAACGGAGGCCTCTGAGCTATCTTGTTGGTGAAACAGATTGGGTATACCATGGAGTTCCAAAAGAACGAACAGTTTTGTCCTGAAGAGGTACAGGCCGAATGCTCTGTGGAATCAGGGTGCCGAGGCTTCAGTTCCTGTACGTCAAACATGTTGTCAGGAGAGGCCAGTGCCTGGACAAGAACATGGTGCTTACTACAGCAGAGGTTCATTAATACAGGGGGGGCTCCTTAATGGGATGAATTGACAACAGTGGTTGCAATAGGCTCAAAGATAACGCTTGTGAGGATGGCACTGGATCAGTTGTGTTTCCTTCTGTTCTACGCAGGGTCTCTCTGAGTCAAACCCTGACAGCACCTAAAACAGCAGCATCTCTGCATCTCAGATTCCAGTAAGTTAAGTTTGCTAGGTCTTCAAATCACGGAATTTGTGTTACTTCAATATGCATGTATGCTCAAATAAAGAAAAATACTAGAATTAGCCCTAATTATTTTAATAAGAACTCTCTGGATGGCATAAATAATTACGTTTGACTACTAGCCAAAAGATTGGCTTTTTAAACCCACCTAGAATCCCAAACCAAACTCTCTGCCATTGAGTCCGTTCCAATTCATTGTAACCCTATAGAACAGAGTAGAACTGCCCTGGTAGGGGTTGGAGACTAAAACTCTTTATGGTAATAGAAAGTCTCCTCTTTCTCCCATGGAGTTGCTGGTGATTTTGAATTGTTGACCTTGTGGTTTGCAGCCAACACTTGACCAACTATGTCACCCAGGGTCCTAACTCACCTAGAGGAACCCTAAAGACCAGCAACTACAGGGTCTCAGCATTGAAAACCCTAAGGATCCGTTCTGGGAGGCCTGGTAGCACAGTGCTTCCTCACTGGGTGGTATGGTTGGCCGTTCAAAGTCACCAGCAGCTCCACGGGGGAAAGATTGGACTTTCTCCTCCCATGAACAGTTACAGCCTCAGAAACCCCAGAGGGGTCGCTATGAGTCAGCACTGACTGCGTGGCAGTGAGGGTGGAGCAGCTCTGCACTGCACACAGGGCATTTATACGAACTGAAATTAACTGGAAGGTCACTCACAACAAACTGTAGTAATAATACAGCCTTAACGGGAGAAACATTTACAGTCTCAGAAGCCTTCAGAGGGAGTTTTGCTCTGTTCTGCAGGGTCACTATGAGTTGGAAACAAGTCGGATGGCACATTGTTTTGGTCATCCTGTCAACATCTTATGCCCTTCGACATGCTATAATGTATTCTTGGGATTATCACACATTGACTGCCAAGAGTAACCATCCACCGGGAAACCTGACAGAAGTTACCATAGTAATGATCCTCATCCAAATACTTTAAAGGGACAAGTTACATTCACAAGGTTGGATTTATTTGAGCTACTGGGTGGTGTCTTGATTTTCTTTTTTAAGGTGCAGTTTAAGTTTTAAATATTGGCTTTATTAATTGGTGATAGTGTAACTTAAGGCAGTTACCCCTCCGGTGAGGCTAGGAGGACACAATAACTGTTCTCTTGTCATTTAAACTGGCTAATGGTAAACTGATTGCTTGCCTTTCGACTCTCATTGCCATCTGATGGGCCACAAAATGTTTGTTCCCTGGTGCAGAAAAGGGAACATACAATTATATCTCCTAAAGTATAAACACTGAAAGAATAGAAATATTTCTAAAATTAAGGAGCTTTGCTATAGCCATTCTTGTTCCCAAATTGGAATCAGGAACTTCTGAATAAAGCAGTCATTTTCTAGAACACACTTTCTTGATGCTTCAGAGATCCTCTGCTGGCCCTTTAGTATGGAGCCATGAGCAAGGCCCCTTTGTCCTCTAAGGCAGCATTAGCTGAGGTGCTGGCTGTACCAGCCAAGACAGCAGCTGTATTTCCCAGAGTGAGAATGTTCCTGGACTGGATCCAATCCAACATGAAAGGTAAATAGTTTCATGTATTATAGAAATATTATGTCTCCTTCTTTGGAGTGGGTTTGGTAGAGGTTAGCATTATGAAAGAAAATGATTGGGTAATAAATCCAATGTGCTGTAAGGATAACCTTTCTCTTGGGAGGAGTTAAGGTAAAGGTAACTTTCCTGGCATCACTTTAATCCTGGCTTTATGTTTTCTTTTAATAATGACTGCTTTGGCAGATGTTGCATTTTGTCTTAGGTGTTCATCTTTATTTTTAACATGTTTTCCCCAGGTTCTGGCCCTGCTTTACTTCTGATAAGTAATGCGTTAGTCTGGGTAGATTAGAGAAACAAATTCATAGACACTCACATGTGTATAGGAAATAGCTTTATGTACAGAGTAATTGTGCATTAAGAAAACATCCCAGCCCAGTCCAGATCAAATTCCTAAGTCTGCTATTAGCTCATATGTCCAGTATAAGTCTGTAAATTCCTCTTCTGACTCACACAACATATGCAATGATGCCAAGTGCAGCAAGATTACAGGCCAGTGGGAGGAAAGTCTTGTGGATGGATCCAGTGGCTGTGGAAGCATCTTAGTGCTGGCCTGGGTTTCCACGTGGCTCCTCCAGCTCCAAGGCTCTGGCTGCCATCAGCAAAGCTCCATGTGTCTTCTCAACAGGAATGTCTCGCAAGGAGTAAGTGTGTGTCCCGCCTCCAGTGAGCTATTTATCTCCTTAGCACCTTCAAATGAGGTCATCAAGCTGCAACCTGAGTGACAAGCTCAACTCCACCCCTTCACTCTTAATAGTCTCAAGTGGACAACAGATTATGTAACTACCACAAGTAATGAAAGAAAAACCTTAACAAAACCACAGTTGCCACTACCCAATCCTACAACAGACAAGGCATATAGATCAGATAATTAGTAAGATTTAACAAAATATGTATTGTGTATTTGAGCTCATTAGTCAACTACAGATTTTTATTATCTAGGTAGTTTACATTGAAAGAGAAAGGGGGGTTTATCATGGTTGTTAGGAACATAATTTCCCCCTCATCTTTACAGCTACTGTGGACAAATGCTAGACTTTTCAAAGAGTGCATAGAAGCACTGTGACTGCTGGGCCACATTTCCCTACCTGGAAAAAGTCCTTAAAATTTCAGGTGTCTTATCCATCATGGCCAGGAGGCTAGTTAAAGATTTTGGGTATGAAATGATCAAAACTAGCATCAGAATTCAGATGCCTCTTAATTTTCTAACAATTGCTAGTTTCCACTTGCTTTAAATGTGTAGTCAGACACAAACAACAACTAAGGAATTTGTTCTGTAAAACAGAATGGACTCAATGGCAGTGGGTTAGGCTGTTCTTTTGTGAAAGGACTTGCAAAGAGATTAGTTCAATCTTGTCATCAATCTTGGTTTCCAAATGGGCTTTCCCTTTTTATCCACCGCATACACAAAACCACATGGATGACCTGGGAAGAGTCGGGGTAGAAAATAAAAACTAAAATGATAGGGGAATCTTAGAAGGCCAGTTAGCTATCATTGTTTTAGTAAGTTCAGTCTTTTTTTTTAATTGTTTTATTGGGGCTCAGACGACTCTTATCACAATCCATACATACATCAATTGTGTAAAGCACATTCACTGCCCTCATCATTCTCAAAACA